GGCGACGATGTAAAACAATCATCTCAATTCTATTGCAATATACTTCTTTGAAAAAATATACACTTTAATAAAGGAACCTGTTGGTACAGCGCCTCCAAAAATCATTTTGCTTCCATTTTAAATAATAGTTACGTAATGCCATGGGGATACCAAAATCAAGCGATTCTTGTGCCTATGGCCCTAAAGTTCATTTCATAAGATAACTGACGACAGTATTACATTCAACTGACGGCTAATATTTACAATTATTATATAGTCTATTTATAGTACCTCCATAATCTATACAAATGCCAACGGTTCATTACACTACATATTCACTTGATTTGAGGCCATATTCACCGGAGGGTCAGTGCGCGTGCAGCGGTGATTGCGACGTCAGAAACGACACCAATGTTGTAAACAAAGGTTGCAACGACAGGAGCCAGCTGTGTATCTGAAAAGGAAAAACGATAGACAAGACTATCGCAGGATTATTATCTAAACATTTCGAAGGGAAATGATGTCTTACACATTACGAAAGGAAAACCTTGCAATCTGGACATCTTTTAATCTTTCTGCGACAGAAAGTTCGTTAATGAAAATGTTATCATCATGCAGCCTTCAATGTCCTATTTATTCGAATCAGGACTATATAATGAAACAATTATGGACTCTTTTGTTGGTAAATGTGGTATGATATAAACCAGAAAAATATCAATATTTACATCCATTTTCTTTATAAACCCCCTTTTTGTACTGCAAAAATGTAACTATGTTTACCAGACAACGAATGTCGACTACTAATGTTCAATATTTTCTTGTCCAACATTCTTTATATATGTACTTGTTGCATCTTGTCATTAACTTGCCAGTGTAAGGAACACTGAAAAATAAGCACAGAAAAAGATAAACAATACAAACGACACATCTCAGCTTTTTAACTTACTATACCGGCCGGGAATAAATTATATTGCAATGTCCAATAGACACCTCCTACTCCCACTCCAAGGATGTTCTTTATATTCCTTGTTACAAATTTATGGATCATACGTAAAAAACGAAAATAAACTTTTTAAAAAAATTTTATCGTCCTTCTGGGTGTAAATTGTAAAAATATCAAAACACGAAAAATGGTAGTGAATTTTAGATTGTTAAGCGTAAACTTTCTAAAAAGAGATAGATTAAAAAACTCAAAAGTTTAAAATACAAAAATTGGTTTTGGAATCTTGAATTTTTGATATTTAAAGTTAAAGTCTAAGAATTCAAAATTTTAAAAAGTATTTGAAAGTTTAATAAATTGGATTTTGAGCCAAGATATCAAATTTCAAATCAATTTGAGTTTTTAAAGATTAGAAGTTTGAAGTAAAATATTAAAATTTTAAAACTAATTTCAGAAATTTGAATTGTTAAGTGTTACATGGACCGATTCCCGACCAAATTCTTTACAAATCGTTTTAAAATATCTCGAAAATACCTCCGTATATTTCTCGGTAATGGTATCTATTATATATATATATACATAGGTCGCCCTATAGTTAGCGCAATTGGACACCCCACGGAGAAAATTTCAGAATACGTTGATTTACATCTCCGTCTACACGTAGAGAATTTGCCTTCCTATCTCAAGGACACCACGGACTACATGAACAAGACGCCCTCTACTGGCCTTCCAGATCATACCATTCTCGTGACTATGGACGTCACATCTTTGTACACCAATATTCCGCACGATGAGGGTATCGAAGCCTGTAGAGAAGTCTGGGATAGTAGATCCATACGAATTCCTTCTACCGAGTCCCTTGCCAAGCTCCTTGAACATGTTCTCAAGTATAACAACTTCATGTTTAATGGAGAACATTACCTGCAGGTTAATGGCACTGCTATGGGTACGAAAATGGCACCATCTTATGCCAATATTTTCATGGGCAGACTTGAACGCAACTTGCTACTTCAAGCACCATTTAGGCCCCTTAGCTAGTTGCGTTTTTACAGTAGACGTATCTAAATCGAAAAACATATTTCTAGATACTACATCTACCCTGACTGATGGTGAAATCGAGTTCAGTCTCCACACGAAACCCACAGATGCCCATCTGTATCTTATGCCAACTAGTTGTCATCCCCCACACACATTTAAGGGTGTGCCTAAGGGTCTAGCCACCAGAATTTGGCGCATCTGTTCATCCCCTGCCTTATATCAGGAACAAAGCGGTCTCCTCAAGTCCCACTTATGCAAGAGAGGCTACAATGCCCGCACCTTACAAACTGCTATTGATGAGATGGCGGGACATGACAGGCAAAACCTATTACGCTACAAGGAAAAAGACAATAGCGGCAGGGTCCCTGTGGTAACCACATACCATCCCGTCCTTAAGAACCTCAGTGGTATCCTTCAAAAGAATCTGCCAATTCTCCACTCAAATAAACGAATGGCAGAGGTCTTTAAGGAGCCTACAGACGCCTGAGGAACCTAAAGGACATGGTAGTAAGAACCAGATTGGACAATCCATTACCTAACGGGGGCTTTAAAACTTACTCTGACAGAAGATGTCTTCTCTGTAAGCACAGCTCTGACACAGACAGCTTTAACACCCCGTTACAGGCCGTAGCTACAAAATACTAGGGAATTTGTCCTGTCAAACAGACAACTGCATTTATCTCATCAGTTGCAAAGTTTGCTCCAAACAGTATGTTGGTGAAACAGGAGATCTCCGCAGGAGAGTCAATAATCGCCGTTCTACCATTAGGACCAAAAAACTCAATGAACCCGTTGGGGAACATTTCAACCTTGAAGGTCACAAATGGGAGGACATGACAATAGTGGTTATTGACCATAATCCAAGATGGACAGACGCTCAGAGAAAAGGCAAGGAAAAGTTCTGGATGCACAGGCTGAAGTCATTCCGCCCTAATGGTATTAACAAACTAAATGACTTCACCAGGATGAACGTGAACTAGACCCAATCCCGGATTGTAACAAACAAGATCATTCTCTCCATTTAGTGTAAACTTTACCGTTAATTCGCATTAGCAATTCTGGAACGACCTACCCAGATATTTACAGGTTACATTTTTGTTTATTTCTTTTATCCGATTTCCAAATTTATAATATATCCAAATTCATATTTTAAAATTGCCCTTCCATATCATCTTTCTTTAATTTCTTTTTATCATGTATAGTTACGCTATTTTGAGAGAATAAGACAATGTACGATTTACTGCTTGGTCGTAATTAATTAGCGATAATTAATTCGTTCAATTATGTAAATCACACTTCACCAGAGTACACCCGATAGAACGGACGCAATTCATAGCGCTCCGGATTTCTTTGTTCACAACTGTTTATAAACTTCAAATTAAATATGTAACACTGTAAATATTTAGTGTTTAGTAGTTTAGTAGTAGTGCTAGTTGTTTTTGTTTCTCCATTTCCTTTGTTTTTATGACTTCTTAACTTTTTTTTCTTTGTCCTGAGGAAGTGACAGGTCGTCCCGAAAATTTGACAATTATTATTGTTCGTGTCGTTGGTCATTTTTAGTGCTTATATATATATATATATATATATATATATATATATATATATATATATATATATATATATATATATATATATATATATATATATATATATATATATATATATATATATATACAGTAAAACTTGTTGAATCCGGATGTTGTGCATTCCGTCATGTTGTTCAGTCCGGCGTAATATTTTAGTCCCTTGAATTTTCTTTATAATTTATGTTTAATAAATGTTCTTCAATCCGGATCTTGCCTATTCTGTAAACCGGCCGCTATTTAAAGAACTAACTGCTCATAATTAGTACAAATTATCTCCTCTAATCCGACCACTTATCTTTACCTGTGCCCGCTGGTCATTATAGAAGTCTCGCGTGAGGTAATTATTGTCCCGTTAATGATCTAACCTGTATCGACAGTTTAGATTTTAACAAACGTGATTAAAAAAATCATTAATGGCTCAAATATGGCGAGAAAACTCGCAAAAGAACGAGTGATAGTGATGGTTGCATATAAATGTCTGTAGAAAACTTGGAGACTTATTTATGACCTTTCTACTTTGGTTTTGCGTGCACGACGTGCAATTCGAATTACTTCCCTTTGTATCGCTAGTTTACAACGACCATAACGACAGAAGATTTTGGTTCAATATTCAATTATTCATTATAACATTTGAAAATAACAAATACAGTGTCTAAATATTCAAACATATTAATTCTAAAAGAAAGAAATTAATTAGGAATCTATCCCTAACAAAATAATATTTACATCTTCGATGAGGTTTTGGAGCGTGTTTAAAACATTTAACGATTTTTCAAATTCAATAAATGACCAAGAGATATTATAATTTGTTACTGAATAAAAAAAAAACTTCAACAGAAATGAAAATTCTGAAAAACAAACAGAGTTAAAAACAAACGGAAATAGACGATTTTTTTTAAGTGAAACGTAAAAAATGACACATTTGATCAAGTATTTATTTACCACTCTTTGTTTATATAGACTATGTAATTTTTAACTTGCCATAACGGTTCAATTTTCTCCAATCCGGATGTTGTCTAATCCGGCCAAAAATTTTGGAACCACTGGTCGCCGGATTAGACAAGTTTTACTGTATATATATATATATATATATATATATATATATATATATATATATATATATATATATATATATATATATATATATATATATATATATATATATATATATATATATATATGGTATGGTTGGAAGTGCTCAAAACGACTTTAAAGGTCTAACTGAGCATGTAGAAATCATACCTGAAAGTTTCAATGAAAAAAATTCATTTTTTGGACAACAAAGACATTAAAAATAAGAAACAGTAGAATCATTTTAAGGTCTTCCGTGGAGACGAAAGATCTTAATAATAATAATTATAATAATAATAATGATAATAAACATTAGAATCACATAAAGACGAAAGAGCTTAATGATTAAATTATAGTTTTATTTTTTCTTTTAATTTTTTTTCCAGAACACTGTGTAGAAGGACAGTATTTGTTAAATGGAACTTGCCTGCCATGCCAAATAGGATTTTACAAAAATACATCAAGCAATAATATCTCCCTTCACGAAGATCTTAGATGGAACTGTACTCGATGTCCGAAGGGATACACTACTTTGTCGACAGGGTCTAGCAATTGTACAAGTATGATTGCATCAGCTTGCAATCATCACAGCCAACGCATATAGATCTTTTTCTTAATTCTGTTGTTGATTCAATTGAGCAAACCTTCATTGGCCAAAAATAGAATGTTTACACCGTATAAGCAGAAATTTTAGCGAGGATTCAATTTTGGCATTTTTAGCGATGATATTGAGATGGTTAATAAAAATTATTCCGCAGTAGATGTAACCATTATCTTTCTATGCAATATTTATATCGCTAAAATTTCTTCTCCCTAAAATCAAATACTGATTTTTAGGACAAATTGCTAAATTTGCATCTCGCTAAAATTTCAACTTATACGGTATTCCCTATGAAACTTTTTCTCCTTTTTCTTCCCTACTTCCTTCTTTTGTACTTTATTTTCGAAATAAAAATAACACATTGCTTCCCATTAATTCTTTCAGTTTAGTTACTAGTAATGTTAACGGCAGGGATTTACTGCTGATATATGATGCTGTTTATGCTAGCTATTTTAAATAGCTTTCTGATTTTTCTTGAACGTGCATTTATAGTAGTTTATGCTACAGAAAATATTCTCTATAGTGTACATATATCAGCGATCAATCCATATTTGTTCTATTACTATTTATATCTCTGTTGTTTTTCAATTATGAAGCTGTGTTTTTATTCATGCGTAGAATTATGCAAGAAAGGAGAGGAATTCAATGGGACGACAGGATTATGTCAACCTTGTGCCGTTGGATTTTACAAGAATATAAGTGGTAATCAGCTTAGTTGCTATCAGTGTCCTGAAAATCATACGACAAGAGCCACCGGTAAATCATCTTTAAAAGACTGCAAACGCGGTAAGAAATATTTATTTTTTAAATCCTTCCTCGACTGCACTTTACAATGAACTACTCAGAATGTTAAAGAAATGTCAGATTTGGAAATTTGTATGACTTTATTGTTTGCTGTTTTATTCGTCATATTCTAGATTAAAACTATTTAACCTTGTTTTCAAAACTACACTGCTAAATTTGGGATTACAAAACATTTCTAACGTTAAAACTTTAAAGTAAGAAGATTTTTGTCAAATTTTTTCACCTGCTATATTAGTTGCTATTATCAGAAATGTAGAAATCGTACACTATTTTAGTGCGAGAAAAAAGTTTGGATTGTAACATTTTAAAGGTTTAACACTACTTTGTATTTTCATTGTTGTAGATAAACACAACTATTCCCTTGTCTAATCCAGAACATATTTCCAGCAATTTGTTCATATGCATGAAAACAACTTATTTAATGTAAAGTATAAAAATGGCATTTCATGAAAATTTTCTTGAAAATCACTCAAAATGCAGGCAAACGAAAGTAAAGACAAAAGTATCTCCATTTAGTTCATGTAAGCAAATACAACTAGAAAAAAAATAACTCTGATAACGCTAGAATGGATAAAGGGAATGAAAGTTGGTGGAGAGTGAAACAAAGATAAATGTCTAGACTAAGTCTAATTTTAATCTACAAGTCAGTAGAGGATAGGATTTGTTAGCTCCTTATGTTTTGACAACTGTCTGGCTAGATAAACAATAAATAATGTATAAGATGTATGATGTCCGTAAATTACAGAGTAAATAAATATGAAAATATACCAAAAGGGACAAAGAACAAAAAATAAAATAAAATGTTTTATGTATTTCAGCTAAATGTCAATGTCCATGTGACAGAGTTCATAAGATAAAAAATTACACAAGTGAAGAACTGGGAGAAGTCATAGAACAGATGAAGAAGGAACTTACCGTCAACAGGGAACAACTGTCCAATAACGTCAGAAAAAGAATCAGTATAATGGACAGACGCCCATCAGCTACGTCACTTGGATCAATTGGCATCGTCATTATCACCTTTATTTTTGCCGTTCTGATTGCATTTGATATTGTGACCTTGAAAGAACATATTTCTATGTTTTTTCATAGTATTGTGGAATGTTTTCAAAGAAATTAGATGTGAAATTGAGTAGTTGAGGATTAAACTAAAATCTCACGATAGGCTAAAGATTATAATATCCTTTGCATTCCTCGGTAAATAAATAAAGGGTGTGATCTTGGTAATTGGGTGATGACATTTAAATAGGCAATAATATACTTTTTTACAATTTAAAAATTTCTCAATGTATTTCACAGATGCATGTAGAAAGGCATAAGCATTTGGAGGGATTGCCACCAACTAAAAATATATAAAGTCTTCGTAGGATAAGGATAATTTAATTATATTTTCATCAATTTGATTTTGCTTGTTCAGTTTGTATCCCATCCTTATAACTCAGAGCAATCAATGTTATTTGCTAGCAATCAATGTTATTTGCTAGTTTCCGATTAGAACGAAAAACACTTAATATAAGATTTATGATGATGTTGTTTATAATCTTGTAAACCTTGCCTTAACATGTGTACTTACGACGAAAAAATGAGCTGAGAATTTGTGAGTTATGTGAAACTTCTCCATAATGCATCTTATAAGGAAATGGATTGATTGTATATTGTTGAACGTCCAACTCGAGAATTTTTCACTCATATGGAGACGCCACCACTTGCCTGTGGAGGGCTACAAATTTTGACATATACTAAGCACTTATGGCCATTGAGCAGTGAGGGATCTTTTTCGTGCCAGTACCTACTGCGACACGGGACCTCGGTTTATACAGTCTCATCCGAAGGACTGGTCTCCGCGTCCCGCAGTGGGATTCGAACCCGCGACGTAAGGATCAACTAAATACTCCGCGACTCTAGAGCAGACGCTCTAACCACTGCGCCACGCGGGCTACAATATAAGGAAATGGAAATGGAAATGCTTTCCCTCGGTACATTATGATATTTTTTTTTACCACAAAAACTCTGTTTATGAAAGCCATAAAATACATGTTAGAAATGAAATTTTTGCTGCAATTCTATATATTGCACTAAATTGTATACAGATGAGTAGATTTCTATTTTTATAGTTTCTTATATTTTTGTATTTAATTTTTAGCAAAAACCGTATATTTGACATTGACTGTATATAGATTTGATTTTAAATGAAATATGAATATAACGAACTGTAATCAAGCTCAAAAGGTCATTGAAACAATTCAAATTTGAAGCAGAGCAAACACGAACCTCTAAATTCATCAGAGTAGAATCAGATGCCCTTGAAGAGTAAGCATCCCCTGTCGACCGGTCACAACTTCTATCTGCTCCACCCCCCATTAAACACAAAGAAGAGAACAGATTATAGTTTTATCTTGTGCATCATACGATTAAGCGATATTGTATGAAGTTCGTAGACGTATGTGTGTGCGAGGTTGTGTGTGAGAGGGTGAGGGTTTGGGGGTGGGGGGTGGGGGTTAGTTTTTGTTCCTGTAGATGTTTCCCTTTTTGTAACTTCTTAACTCTGATCATTTGTAAATATATGCATTATGATGTTTAGAGTATTTTTATGCAATTCCTGTTTTAAATGAAGTCCGCTGTAAATTTTCTGAATAATACAACTTAAATTATAAACTATGCAATATCTGGTGTATTCTTCTAATTTTGATTTACACGGAAAAAGGACTGTGGTAAATTAATTGCAATAAATAATTAAATGAACTTATAACTGGAAAAGTATATTACTAAGCATGATAAACACAAAACTACGTTAATTTGTGACGACATGTATGGAAAGGAAATGGACTAAGTTAGATACCCCTAACAAAAATACTATAGTAAACCATAGTTAACTATAGTAAATCTAAGTTTTCTCATTTATCTACGATGGCCGATATGAGCCGTCAAATTACAAGTAAGAGTAACTCTATTATGTACGCAGAATTAATTGACTTTAGCAGTAATACCTGTATCATTTTGTACATGTACATCTTTGTCAATGACAAAACGCTTGTACTTGTAATATGAATTTGTACATGTACAAATCTTGAGACAAAATACATTGGAAACTACTTAACATTCCTCAGATTTATTGGGGAGATTATCTGTAAACTTAGAAAGGGTGTAAAACAAAAACATGTGTGTTTTTTTTTTGGGGGGGGGGGGGTGTTAAATAAATGCTTATTTTTAATGATATTAAAAAGAGCAAGACTGTTTGTACTTTCACATACGTCGTATGAGATCACGACTCTCAGATTTTTCCATCAAAGAATATTTTGTAAGTGTCTTTATTCAGATTCCTCGTGTTTTTGTTTGATTCAAATCTCTTTCACGACAACGCAATATAGAAATTAATTCTTAGGCCTCAAATACTAGTTAAAGATTCCAGAGAAAATGAATTAGCTGAATCTTTAAGTAAGAAGTTTATTCATTTCCTCATTCTATTATTTTCCTTGTTCCAATGAAAAAAAAATAAAGGAGAAAAAATATTAATGGAACAAGGGAAAGATTAGAATGAAAGATAAACAATCTTCTTACTTACGCAGATCATCGAGCGACAATCTTTCATCTGAAGGGAAGGGAAGGGAAACACTAGAGATGCAGCTTCTTTGTCTCTGGAATCTTTAACCAGTATTTTGGGACCTACGAGTGAATTTTAATATTGCGTTGTCGATAAGGAAATTAAAATCAAACCAAAACACGAGGAATCTGAATAAAGACTAACAAAATATTCTCTGATGAAAAAAATTGAATGTTGAGGTCTCAGACGACGTATGTGAAAGTAAAAATAATCTCGCTGCGTTTTATGATTATTACAAATTAGGAATACAGCATTTATTTAACAACAACAACAATAAGGGAGGAGAAAAGAGAAGAAAAGAGAAGAAAACCAGACACATGTGTTTTTGTTTTAAACCCTTTCTAAGTTTACAGATAATCTCCCCAATAAATCTGAGGAACGTTAAGTAGTTTCAAATGTATTTTGTCTCAAGATTTGTACATGTACAAATTCTTATTACAAGTACAAGCGTTTTGTCATTGACAAAGATGTACATGTACAAAATGATACAGGTATTACTGCTAAAGTCAATTAATTCTGTGTTAATAATAGAGTTACTCTTACTTGTAATTTGACGGCTCATATCGGCCATCGTATTGATCACTATAGTGTCATGTGATCACTATAGTGTCGTAGTAATCATTAGAGTGTCATAGTTATTACTGTAGTGAATCAAAGTGTCGAAGTTATAGAAATGTTAATTATAACAATGTAGCAAAGTTTGAAATTTATAATTACGGTATATAATTTTCTATGAAAGAGGCATTATTCAATTTCTCACGATAGGCATTATCCCGTTTTGTAGATTTTCTCATTTTACGGAGGGTCAGCACACAAACAAACTGTTCAAAATCAACATACAAACTGTTCAAAATCAAAGTCATATCTCAAACTTCAAATATAAAGCATATCAACTTCATATATCAAATCTTGTACATAATATCTCAAATATCTCAAACTTCATGGATCAAACATCTCAAACTTCAAATATCAAACTTTCATATTTCAAACTTGTACTATATATTACAGCTCTAAAGTATATATCATTGTAACAAAGAGTAAGCTTATTAGCTTAGTTTACTCTAGCATATTAGCATATCAACGAGGTGACAGTTCAGTACAAGTTTCACACAAATATTCAATTATCAGTTGACTTGGTGTGCGCAGACGCCACATGGCTGCAAGCTGGCACAGATTGCAGTCACCCCACACATTGGGGGAAGCAAAACAAGTCAACTGTTCCACGACCAATACTGCCCAAGACCCCCCTCCTCGCTGGGTACTTGCACACATCTTGATGTATGGATCTGTTAACCCTTCAGCAGACTTGGAATAAATTTTGAATTTCCCTCTATTAAGAAAGGTGCTATAACACATTAAGTAATCAAAACTTGCCAATGAAATATGTGGAGCAGAGCAAACATGTTCACAAACCTCTAAAACATAGTGGTGGGATCAGGTGCCATGGATGAGTGAGCATCCTCTGCCGACCGGTCACACCCCCCGTGTGCTTTTTGTCATGACCGGGAAATAACGGAAAAATCCGTTGATAATTCAGTGTGTAAATAATGGTCTAACAACTACCAGGAAGTATGAAAAACATCAGCAGCATTTGACTTAGTGATAGACTTTATCTGCTGACAAGGTCATTATATCGACCATAGAACTTACGAAATGATGACTTTAAACGAGACTTGATATTGTGATACGATTTCATATATATATATATATATATATATATATATATATATATATATATATATATATATATATATATATATATATATATATATATATATATATATATATATATATATATATAATGTGATGTATCTCACCTATTCCCTCAAAGCCTAATAAAGCTTTGGTCTTGTAGAAAGAAACTTCCCTACTATCCTGCTTCACAAATGTATATGCCACCTTGCAATGCATTTACATAAAGTTTACCATTGCTTGTTAATTTTGTTTTGAATTGTCCATTAGCCAAGGCAAGTTTTATATATAGGTTGTAATTCATCAAAACAAATATCTGGAGATTTATAACCAAATAGGGGGAGTTTCATTCATTATCATTACATAAAGCATAATTCTCTATGAAAATTGCTAGGAAAGCCAATGCATATGCTGCTATTTGATGAACCTAGTTTCATTTCACCGAAGGTGACACATTCACTCTCTAATTAGCAAATTTAAGTAGAGCTATTTGAAATCTTTAATCACATTTCAAAAACTCCAGTTTCAAGGTTGAATCTTACTATATTCCTATTGATACCAAAATACGTAGTTTCTTGGGAGATTCCCAACCCAAATGTGGATTACACAGTTATAAGAATTATCAGTATATCACACTACTAAGTGATGGTTACCAATGGTTGTAGAACTGTCAATTATAATGATATTTTGAAAACATATACTGGTCTTAATGATATTCCTAGAAAAGATACATTACCTGATACATGTAACAAGTTTATTAAAATTTATACTTTCCAATAACCAGTTTAGCTGCAATGAAGATATCTGGCACTTTGACGGTGCTAATTTGAACCTGTGATTTTTAGGCTGCAATTTTATTACAGATGCTTGCAATACTAGTATACTCAACTAATCTCATTTATATGCCAATTCCTTTTCCTCTGATAAAGAGTCTTTCAATAAACATTACTAATGCCCGTGAAACATCTATGTGCATCAGAACTCTATACAGATGTGCATGACCATATTGTTCCAATGTAGTACAAAATGCATAGCAAAGTATAAAATTCTTTTAGGTATAGATGTTTGATTATTAATGACACCAATTGGGGATATATTTACATATGCAACGAGCCTAAATATAACTAGTACTGCTATCAATATGGACTTGATCCAAAAAGGAAATTATATTTTTCTGGTGTTCTGATTAAAAACAAAACCAAACTCATTAAAAATGTAAACCAAATGCACATCCTGAAGTCTTAGAATCAGCATTTTATACATGTACTAAATTACAAAATATAAGCACCCTGCTAGGAGTTTTTAGATCCAAACACCTTAAAATGTAAGCCCAATGCCCGAAGTCAAACAATCAGCATTATCTGTATAAAATTACAAAATTTAAGCACTCCTCTAGG